TTACAAACGGACACTTCAATTTTATTTATTCGTGTAGATAACATATAATTTTTGATAACTGTATTAATTCAGTTGAATAATTATTCTTCTTCTTCGTCCCTTATCAGCTCGTAAGAATCCAGGACCTTTTCCATTATAGGAATAAGAACTAAATATTATCTAGGTAACGATAAATGATATTAAAATAGTTTCTAGGATTCAATTTAACTCTCTTAGAAATATGCAGAGGCCTGTACCCAGTAGTACGTAACGTAATTGTAACTTTGCTTTAATTTTATTGGCGATAATAATTGAATTAGAAATGTGAAGTAAATAACATTTAAAATTTTCCACGTTTCTTCTCATTTTTACGTATAAATGATGTCTTAAATTTGTTAGTACCTTATATAGAAAATTTCCTTATCAAATCTTGTTTAAGAATTTTTAGCCACATTTTATGTAAATTTATCAAAATCAAAGGGCTAAATATGATGATGTAGACTCGTTATTCTGCCGCAAGCTTCCGAGTAAGATTTTTGACGGCTCCGCGGCGCAGTGGCTTAGCAATCAGTTGTTGCGCTGGGGGCCGCGGCTTCGAATCCCGCACGGAACAAGTATTTGTATGGCCTACAAATAATTGTTCCGGGTCTGGATGTTTGTCCTTGTGCAATTTATGTTTGTAAACTGCCTCCACGACACAGGAGAAAATCCTAGTGTGGGGGTAACGTTTTTTTTTTTTTAAATTTAAGTTGCACTGCAAAACTGGGTAACATTTTTGTATCTTTAAATATTTGGATATTAATGTTTTGACAAAATTAAAAAAGGATATTTTTGCAAAAAAATTAGTCTAACAACAGTAAATACAATTAATTGATACATTTATTTAGATTGTGAAAACTATCCGATGAAAGTATATTGCTTAGAATAAAAATTCCATAATCAACATTAAAACAATGAGTTTTTCGTGCAAATAAATCGATAACATTAGAAACTCAACTGAAATGTGACACATTCAGCTTTTATGGTTTATGCAATAAAACAAGCAAGGCCACACTTATCTTTACATTTTAAAATCAACTTGTATGTTGATCAATAATAGCTTAGCGGCTATTTGAAGCGCTTATTTATTCATTCGCGAGACTCCGTATATGATGAGGTAATCCGGAAGAATCTCATTATTGTACAGTGAACAAATAAACAGACTCGAGTCAAATGGATAGGCGTGATAAAAATAGCTTCAAGTTGTGAAACATAAACTCGGAGTTCATTACAGCTTATAAAAGTCCACTGATGAACATAGGCCTCTCTCATAGATTGCCTCATAGGAAAAATTTTGCCATAGTTGCCATGGACGGCAGACGCGGGTTCGCAACTGCAGTTTTTTATTATTTTGAGTTCTTATCAGTAAGATGCCGCTGACCATCTTTTGTTTTAGTTTACCTCTGATACCACTTACGACATCCACGGGATGATATCGGGTAGTGGATATTCTTACACCGCCACTACACGGTTAATCATTATTTATATTGTCCTAATAAAATTTAAGCATGCATTAATTCTCCTGTACAAACATAACTCTACATACACTACTGGTTTTGTTATAAATGTTAATAGATTATTAATTATTTTTCCTACTTTAAACTTAGCGCCTACCATAATGTTTCAAATTACCAAGGGTAGAGAATGTCACGGCGCAATTTATTTGTTCATTTTAATCGAGTGTTTCGGAGGTACTACAATGAAGCTTCAATAAAAAATAATACATAGGTACATTGCGAAATAAGACATACATTATTAAATAACAATACTTATATTCCAATTCAATATCTGTTATAGTGTTTAATAATAAATTACTTTGTTATAAGGCTACAACTTATTTAATAACTCATTCCTAACCTTCACCCATAAATCGACCAAGTAATAGTTTGTTTAGTACAACTTAATAGTTAAGCGATATCTTTGAATCCATTTGCGATAAATAAACAGAGCAAAAAACAGATAATGCTGCTTGCAAAGATAGAGTAGGTATATACTCTATTTACCGTTTGTTATTGCCCTGTGTTACTTAGCGGGTGTCATAATGGTGCTGGTGCATTAAACTTATCGTATAATGGCATCACCGTGTATTCGTTGCGTTATTTCCTTTTCATTGTTCCATACATTGATGAAGTATAATTTAAAATTTCAATACGATCTAAATCAGTAAATTAATCAATAATAATTCGCGTTATGAAAGACCATTAGTTATAAAATTAATATCTATATATTAACTATTTATATAAGATAAAACTCGTTACCTTTTATACAAAATCATAGCACTGCAGACAGTCTTATATAAAATAAGTTTAAAATAAGTACCTTTTCACTGCGGGGCTGCGACGTCGCGGATTCCCGTACAAGGGCTTGCATATCACTGGGGAGCAATCATGTGCAGGCATGAATGTTCTTCAGTGATCCGGATCTAGGAGGTTGTCCACGTGCAATTTGTCTTTAAAATGGCTGCACGATACAGAAGATCCTTTGCCTTTTGCTACTCTAGTTATAGAGGATTCACATTTAATGCTTTTGTTTAAAACTGATGGATATCTAATCAACAATATAATCGTCATTTTTCTTAATAAATGTTATTTTTCTTTCATTCTCTGGTAGTGAACTCGTACCCTCTATTAATAAAGACATAATAACTATGCGATTAGGAATAGTCTTGGACTAACTAGGTATATGTTTTTAAGACCAAGCGTTAAAGTCTATATTTATACATAATTTATACTAAGCACAAGGGTGTTTCATTACGTACTTATTAATAAGGATGGTACGGTTGTAATTTTGCAAGTGTCAGTAATAAGAAAATCATTCTATAGAACAATTTATTTTAAATACTTCTTAACAATATGTTGATGCGTCACGTTGCGAAGTTTTTTGAAGTTTTGATGGTAGCTTGATTCAGCAGACAACCGATGACGATACTATCTTAAGGTGTCTAAGCAGATACAATAACTTGAGGTTCACATCACCATCGGAGCACTTGTTTCATTCCACTAATAATCCATATTATGCGCAGACATTTAATACACTTATGCCCAAATACACAAAGGCTTTTAAAGACCCTTTTTCCATCTTAGTCCTCACGGGTGACAACGCATCTGCATTATGTTTCGTAATCGAGGATGTAGATGTATATGAATCACAGCAACCACTTACCATCAGGTGGACTGTGTGCTCGTTTGTCACCCTTATGGTATAAATAAAAAAGGATACTCAATTTTAAGAGGCGGTTAAGTCTCATGCTGTTTCTGTCAAGGTAACTGTCACCACGAGACTTAATGACATCTTAAATTTGGGTAGGGTTTGAGTATTTGGCCACAAATCGCACCACATTTACACATCAAAATCCACTTCAAACCATTATCTATACATTAACACAGGAACAGCAATCTGTCAGCGATCAAGTTCCCGTCCAGACTTCATTCTTTATTTTTGAATTGCTTTAAAACTTTATTCATTAACTAGCTGTTCCACACGTCTTCGCCTGCGTTTTCTTTGGGGTCTTAATTTTTTTTCCCAAACCCTAACTCTTTTTCTAAAATAAAAGTAGCCTAAGCCTCCTTGTGACATCAGCTATCTGCCAGTGAAAATCCCGTCAAGCTCGGTCCAGCTGTTTCGGAGATTAGCCGGAACAAACAGACAGACAGACAGGCAGACAAACAGACAAAAACTTTAAAAATTCTATTTTTGTTATTAGTACCGTATATAATTTCATATGGATTTAGTAGTAAGCTGTAATTTTGACATTACAAACAGACTTCAATTTTATTTATTTGTATAGATTAACTGTAGGTACATTATGACTACAGTTTGTATTAGGACTAGAGCTATTATTCAAAACCCTTTTATATCGCAGTCGATGTGCGTAACTGTTTTTCACCGGTCGTCTAAATGCAAATCAAAGCGATATTTCATTGTGAACTTTCGCCATATTTGTCACCTAAAAGGACTCCGCGACTGAGACCAATGTATCGTCAAAGTATTCAGTCTCTTTCACTCTCATATTTTTGTGTGTATTTCCGATTGTGCATGCATGAAAGCATCATGCCGTCGCACTATCGAATTCATAATGATACTGCAATTATGAATTTCCTCATACCTGTTTTGCGTATAGAAATTCGTTGGTACTTTAAAATTTAAATTCTAAATTAATTTGGCATTATGATATCGAAACAAAAAAAGATATTGTTGATTTCAAGCTAGAGTTTATCATATTTTATATCCACGAAAGAAAGTTTATTGACTGTCGTTTCCAATTTCCAAGCCCTGTTTTTATGTCTGTAATTATATATAAACAATGTTATTGAATTAAATTTAACGATTCTCCAGTAATAATTACGTTTTCCAATCCCTTTTTATGGACAGCTAAAAAGATATACTGGATAAATTATTAGTTTTATTCATTTTAAAACAGAAACAGAAATATATAATGTTAGTGTGCTTTTGTACACACGTATTAGTGAGTTATAAAAATAATATACCGAATTTAATGAGAGCGGGTAGCGTAAACTTGTCAAGTCGACAGTAAAGCCCAACCTATTTCGCTTTTCGCTCCAGTTGTGAAATATAATATGTATTTTTATCCATTTAAAAGAAAATCTCCAAAAAATAGGAACTGAAATTAGGACAAAATTAAAATCTAATTTAGGACATAACTATTATTACATTTATTAATATGCCCTACATGATTGCACGGGTACGGTTTATTACGTGAAGCCATCGTCAATGTGTCAATTTCGACGAATTAAATTAGGCCGAAGAAGTCAATTAATCGATTTATAACTATGTCTTTATTCAATTGATAGCCTTTGAAGTAACATCATTTGTTGCAACACCACATAAAATTTATGTGACATTTCATACCTATAAAGAAATAGAAATAAATATAATGCCGCTAAAAAAACACCACAAACAAATATTTCTTAATACCGTTTTCTTTATTAAGTATATGTAATATTTATATTTTATTGTTTCAGGTGGTTTAGAAGGCAAATACCGCGTAGCAGCGCCTGAGCTCATGCAAGACACCTTCATGAGCGACTCGGAAGACGAAGGAGGTATGAACATAATATTATTTATTTAATTTTTTTAACTATTTACTTGATCGTAGGGGTGCCTTTTCTACCTAGAAAATTTTCCAGCTCTCTGACTTGGCTGTTTAGCCTTTCGCCTATTTCTGCCGTCAAGCAGCAGTGCATCATCAGTTGTGTTTCGCCATAAAAATGTATGTAGGGCCAGTATGATTACGGACTATGAGGCATTCCATCGTAGTAGATGGGATTTTACGTGGTAGAGCCATGCTGCAGCTATATTAGTAGTATAGTTGTAGCACGAATGGGTCGGCTCGATCGGGGAAGGACCACGCTCTCACAGAATACCAGCGTAAAATAGCAGTTTAAAACTGCTGTGTTTCGTATGGTGAGTGTAGAGAACCGGATACCCTTTTTACTGGAAAAGGGGCATTCCATCTTAGTCCTCACGGGTGACAACGCATCTGCATTTTGATTCGCAAACGAGGATAGATGTAGATGTCTATGGGCCACAGCAACCACTTACCATCAGGTAGGAATGTGTGCTCGTTTGTCACCCTATCTTATAAAAAAAAGTTCTCAAGGGAGGAAATGCATCCGTAGCTGATAATGACATACATTTGACTTAATGCAGTATCTAAGGGTTACAATAGCCGCTTACCATTAGGCATCAGGTGGAATGTTCGCTAGTAAAAAAATAATAAGAAAATTCTCTCTTATCTTTTAACCTCAATTTTCAGGTGAAGTGGAGTGTCCCATACAGCAGCAACAGCAATATCGCTACATGAACAGCGAAGCGGGCACATTGCACCGAGCGAAGCCGCTCGAGGACAGCGTCACCGATGGCCACCTGTGGCCGAGCAACAATGACAAGAAGGTGGCCACTATTGAGCGACAGCCCGTCGACATCGGGTGAGCATTTTTTACAATCGATGACTAATATCGGGTAGTTGATACCATTTTTAGTAAATTTACTACATTTGAATTTGCTATTTTTAGTGGCGTCTAGCGACCCAAAACTTGATCGATTTTTGGGTACATCAAAGAAAAAATCAAAACCATGCTCAACTTATTGTAGGGACACGTACTCGTACGTAAAATAATTTGCAACCAACAATATGATTTTGGGTGCAAATGTGTGCATCCAGCAGTGGACATTTACGGGCTGTTAACGAAAGATAGAAGTAAGATGTAGGCGTATTGCGTGTCAAGTAGTTAAGCATGGTTGGGTCATTTGAAATGTAGTCTTTCGTTATTGGTCTCAGTATACGTAGTAAATAAGATGGTTATTTGACTATAAAAATATGACCTTCTTACATTATCGGCAAAACTCATAAAAATCGACTTTTATTTAAAAATGTTTAAAGCGGTTCTCTCTTTTTTTCTTTAAATGACAATAGAAAGATACAGGTATAAAGATAATTAATACCTACTTAATTTAAGTAAGCGATAATCAACGATTGGTAACGCCGTATATTCCCATATTTTTTTTTTCGAAATTATTGTTTTGGCAACTCATTAAAAGTATTTCAACCGACTTGAGTGTCACAGTTAAACAGCATGCAGTTTAAAAAAAAACACTCCCAGACACTATAATAAACAAGGTATGATTAGGATTCGCACAAGTGTTGGTTTCGACTGTGGTTTTAACTCAAAATCTAGCACAACCAACGACACAGGCACGCAGTCATTATTATGCCGAGCATTTTTTTGAATATGTCTTTATATTTGTCAAAACAAACTATAAGTTGGGATATTAAAACCTCGTCCACATCTAATTCACCTTGAAAACTTTGGTAGTCATTAACTACTTAGTCTCTGGTTACTATTATTCGACAAACAAAGACGCGGTCACGACATTACTGCATTGTTGCGAATGTAATGTAGTTCTGTGCTGGACGTACTGCTTTTAGGATTTTTGCTCTAATCGCGTTTAAGATTGAAGAGAAACGCTTGGTAAAAAACTATAAGTCAAATAATAGCCTCGTCTATTTTTCGACATAGTAAATATAAAAATGCCTGTCATTTTGATGTCTGCTAATCGCCTAAGATTATATATTATATATATTTCACAACTTTTTTTCATTCTATGCATCTTCAAAAAAGCATAAATAAATTTTTCTCTTGCTAAGTCAGTGCGCTTTACTATCACTTATTGCAAATGGGATAGTTAAACTAAGTTACAGATTCGTTTCTAAAAGGTAATATTATATTATATTACGTAATAAAATATGTACTATTTTTAAAATATTATAATGTGTAGGTATCAATTACAATTTGGGGTAACTCTGTAGACAATGAAATGATATTAGAGCCCAAAAGAGATGTGTAAGGGCCATTGTGAAGTTAAAACAGACGGATAGTTGTAAACCATTTTTTATTAGTATTAAACTGTTAACAGTTCCGTGCCTTTATATATATGAGGTAGCCGTTTTTGTCATTACGCATATTTCTTTATTTGAGTGCCTACACAGTAAACGTAATAATCACAAAGTATGTTTTCCATCAAACAAAACAGCCCAATTTAACAACAGTGTATTTTGTATGGCCCCTCGAAATTATAACCATTTACCATTACACATTTTGAGATGCTCAAATATAGATAAGTTTAAAGTACTATTGAAGCAATTTCTTCTTAATAAGGCATACTACAGTGTGAAAGAATATCTTGAAGACAAATATGAAATTCAATAATTGACTGTTACATGACTGAGAATAACTAAATTGACTTGACTTATATAATATTATCTAAATTGACTTATCGCTATTATTTTTGATTTTGTATCATGTGAACTCCAATTTTAACTAGAGTATGTTTAAGTAATTTAATATAAAAGTAATAAAATGTGATGGACATTGCATGCCAAATGGCGGAATATAGCTGTACTAAATGTTTGTTCAACTATGTAAACACCAACTGTATAATAATATTCCACAACTATCAAACAACGCCATCTAGTCCCAAGCTAAGCAGAGCTTGTGTTATGGGTACTAGACAACTGATAAACATACTTATATATATCTAAATACTAAATATTATAGATAAATTACACCCAGACACAGAACAAATGATCGTGCTCATCACACAAACATTTGTCCTGGGTGGGAATCGAACCCATATTCGCAATAAACAATTTGAATTTGAATTTGTCATAATAGGATAACATTAATATACGCAATAAAATACACAGCACACCTACGAAAGTATCTGAATCACGTAATATTTACTACTCTTGAAAGTATCTTAGGCGGTATGACATCATCGAAATCGTGGAGCTACGTCAGAGGCCTTGACTCTTCCTGGTTGGCCTTTACCTCACGGTCATTTAGTGCTTTATAGAATCTGATACGCGTAATACCGTTGTGTTAATTGAAAATAATTTAAATTTCCGCCAACACTGCTCAATTTGTTAATTGAAATTTAAACACTGATTAACGCATTGTCAAATAGTGAAGGAAAACTTTCTGAGAAAACTTGCATTTTAGAAATAGTTAAAAAAGTAAAAGTAAAAAAGACCTTCCCTTATTCGTTGGTACATACATATAAATTATTAATTACAATTTTTTTTTCAATTAACAATTTATTTTGATTTTTTTTTCCTTGCCCTAAAACTCAGAAATGAGAGGAGGTTTCTGCACATAATAGAATATAACAAAAATCGCGGACAAGTGAAGCGTTGCTCCATTGCAAATATTCGAGCTTATATATTATATATAATATACCTCCCATACGTTTATCTCTGCTTAGCCTAGTGGTGACTGGGAGAGAATGCCTTAAGCCATTAAGTCCGCCAGATGTACGATTTTAGTTTTTGTGATTAAAAATTATTAAATAAATAACAATAACCTTTCGTATATATGTTTTTATATCTTTGTTCAAGGTCACAAGAATCTATTAATGTATTGTATTATATAATCTTACTCTATGTGGTGCCATTTAGCTCAGGGACCAATCCTAGATACCATAGAGTGTAAGCCGGTTTCTTTCAATTCAATAACCGGTGCCGGCACCACTAAAATTACAAAGCTTGGCATAGATTTAACTCTTCTTAAATTTCATTCCTGGTTCTGATACGACTAAAATTGCAAATGTGAATGTAATGTCTCTTAAAAATGAGTTTGACATTGTATTTGTGTGCTTTTTTATGTCTTATCTTGTCTTTATTTCATTACTCGATTGACCCAAAAATAAAGGTTATATTTTGTGGGTTTCTATGTGTATGTTTATCTGTTCCTTTGTATCCTACTCTAGCCTCAACGGTTTCAATGATTTTGAAGTGTATGGTAATATACAATTCTCTAATATATAATATACAATAATCTAAAATAGCAATATTATAAGTCGCTTGCTTGAAAAACATTCTAATAATACAAATTTCATTTTTATTTAGTTTATAATAATAGATCATTATAGTTAGGTTTTGTTTTTAATATTAATAACTTGTTATAGACTAGAGTTTAATGTATACAAAACAAAATGAGCTCCCGTCATAATTAATGATAATGATTCTTTATCCTCTTTAAAATATATGAATGTGTCTTTGCGAGCTGTACGCCGAAACAAAACGTACTTTACTATACTAGGTACTTATATTATTTCTCTGTTTCTACAAATAATGGTTATTATTGTTTGCAGGTTCTTAGTGTCGTTCGTGGTGGATGCCCGCGGTGGCGCTATGAAGGCGAAGCGCCGTGGCGGCGTTCGCATTATCGTACCGCCAGCTGCGTGCGCGGCGCCTACTCGTGTCACATGCCGGTGAGAGAACTTAGGATTTATCGAATATGTAATAAGAGTGATTTTCAATAGCACGAGATCAATTTATCTATGATATTAATTTAAATATTTTCAAATAAAAACGAATCTTAATACTTCAATACCAACCTAATAATACAACAGACAAACGAGGTAATAGTCCACCTAAAGTTGAGTCACTACTGCAACATATTGTAGCAATAAACTTTAAATAAAAAAGGCTACACATGCCTCGTCACCTCACTGGAGAGACGATATTTATCTGGGGGCATGGTAGTGCCCCCCCCCCCCCCCCCAAGTCAAGCAAAAAAGCGGCACGGCCGTACCATCCTTTTCTCGAAGCAGTTCAGGCCATTTTCCAAACTTCGTTGTGGATAAAACAAGAAGCCTGAATTTTCAGTAACTAAGTAGGAATTATATGGACACGGTATATTAGTAAATTTGAACCAGTAGTTTAAGAGTTATAACTAGTCAAAGTTTCTTAATTTTGTCAGTCACTGACTGACCGATCATCAAAACTAAGGCACTTCTAGCAGACATAGAAAATTCAAATTTGTAATACAATTATTGTTTAGTATCGCATGAAAACACTGTATCTCTCAAATAATACATATTACATTAAATTGGATTGTTTAGTGCGATTGCCAAGTCAATTTATTTAAAACATAAAAGATTTTTAATATTGATATGGTCACTATAAGATGTTGTTAGGTTAGCTAATTACGTAATAACTTAAGACAGAAGGACCCTTAAGTAGGGACTGAATAAATTAACCCGACTTGCTATTACATGGATCTCACAACTTTTTACGGTAGAAGAACTGAGTTGCGAGACTTGGTTTTTTTTACAAGTTATGTTTTTGATGGCATACTGACTTTCCTGACTTACCTTTTGAACCGGAACACAATATTTGTAATAGTTGGCACGTTTGGCAATCGGATTGGTGATTACTTCAACAAACACGTCGTACCTCTGATGCTATGATGTGTCTGCTGAGTATTTGAGGTTAACTCTTAATGCTCCAACGAAATAGTTATTCCGCCATGCGAGGGTAATCGATTCTAAATTTTTTTTAATGAAGTTACAAACGAACTTACACTTTACCTGATGGTAAGTGGCTACTGCAGGACAAGGCCATCTTAAGTCTAACTTCAAAGAACCACGTCTACAGATGTGTTGTAACCCCTGAGGGAAAACATAGAATGCCTCGTAAGCCTTTCACTAAACTGGCTCTCTATACCCTTTAGAGCAAAATACAGCAGTGCCAGCAATGCTATTTGGTTACAGAAATAAACAACATTTTTTATTCATCATCATTAATAATAAATCAACTAATAAATTACAATGCACACATAACTATAAAGTAAGCAATGAAAAGGCTCTAGCTCATTAAATGTAGCAAAAACTACAACGCTGTATTCTGTCAGCCCCTAACATGGTTGACATCTATATAAATGGTATACATATGTACTGAACTTATCGAAAAAATATATATGGAATTCAGTGATCAATGTTTACAATTACTGATTTTAGAAGACGCTGTACCGATATTCTATGAGTATTCTTATTTTATATTTAAAAATAAAACAATATAATATTTTTGTATTGGGTCATTTGCCAAGTTCAAATGAGTTTTTGGAACTTTGCCACCACGCACGCGGACCGGTGACACATCGTTTATTTGTTTTTTTTTATTATTTTATTTCAAGCAATTACCGAATCTAAACAATAAGAATATTATGAAAAATACTGATACCTTAATGAGGGTCGGTTATAAAATCATCAGATAAATTTTATTCAGAGGATAAGATTTACCTAGGTTCGGTGTGATGATTCGATTTACCAGTGTGGTGGTATCTTTTTACGACTTGATATAAAACGCCAACACTTATTTTCAACACTTCAATAAAATATGCAAGTATTATATACGGAAAACTTTCTCATGAGTAGGTACTAAAAAGAAAATTCCTTAAATAATAATGTAAACAACAACAAAAATTCAAGGTTTTTAAGACGGGCGTAGGTAAGTGACTTTGTTAAATACTATTTTGTGATTAAACTTACAACTTAAACTTTCAACAATACATTGTCTTTTAAACAAACTGCTACAGTAATTAATTTTAAAGCATAAAAAAATAAAAAATTACCTCTGCATTTTTACATCCCAAAGCAATGACGCAACAACGAGTTCATTGACTTGTGTTGTTTCACTCAATGTCAAAATAATAAATAGAGTACGGTTTATCTTATCATAAAAATACTTTCTCTTTATTCACTTATCAATATCGATATGTGCACAGAAATATTGTGTAGCTTTATGTATTTGCAAAAGCTTTTTTGTTTAATTTCATATAAAAGGCATCGAGGTACACGCAAAACATCATCGTTTTTAGTATTATCTTAGAGGTTAAACACAAATCGATGACAGCAAAGTAAAAACGGACATCTACAAAGTCGCGATTTTACAGGAGAGCAGATTTAGTAAAAAATTGTGGTCATTTTGAGAGTTATGGACCGATTAACATGAAATTTTCTATGAAGCATTAAAAAATCTGTATGAATTATGTAATAGTTTTGATCGCTATGTCATTGTGTTACTAAAATAATTTAAATGTCTTTTTTTACTCCAAAAACTACGACGTAGAAGAAGACATCTGCCTGATATCCGTTTATACGTTGTGATAAAAAAGCGTCCATTTCATTTAAAATATGTAATAAACTAAGATAATAATCTCCATTAATACTTTTAAGGATATTTAAAGAAAATCTAAGCAACATGCAAACAGTATTCCCCTTTTATCGACGAAATTTTGCAGATGTCTTTATTTACTTTGCATTTAACATTTTATACATTATCAATTAATGAGTTACATACCAGGCGGACAAATCCAAATGTCCGTTTCTACTGCGATGTTTTTTTTAAATCGAGGGTAGATGTCTTCATTTACGTGCCAGATTTTCTTCATTATTTTGAAATTTGAAATAATTTTAATACAGACTTGTAGATAGGATTGATTTAAACTCATTTTTGTAAAAAAAAAAGCATTTTCATAAAAATGTAGATGTCCGTTTCTACTTTGCTGCCATCGAGATATAGGACTTATAGGTATGTAATTAATTTATTAAATTAAAATAGGTATGTAATTAATTTATTAAATTAATGACTAATGACTAATGACCAAATACTCGAACTGTGGCAGCACGAGACTTGACGGCATCTTAAATTTAAGCAGCGTTTGAATATTTGGACTTACTTACTTACTTAAGTAACAACTGCAATGAAAACGTACGTGGTAGAGCCATGCTACAGCTATATTTCTGGTACAGTTGTAACACGAATGGGTCGGCTCGACCGGGGAAGGACCACGCTCTCACAGAATACCAGCCTAAAATAGCAGCTTAATGCTGCTGTGTTTCGTATGGTGAGTGTAGAGAACCGGAGATCCTTTTTACTGGAAACGAGACATTCCATCTTAGTCCTCATGGGTGACAACGCATCTGCATTTTGATTCGTAATCGAGGATAAATGTAGATGTCTATGGGCCACAGCAACCACTTACCATCAGGTGGACTGTGTGCTCGTTTGTCACCCTTATCCTATTAAAAAAATCTAATTTATCATATTTTACTATTGAGAGTTTTAAATTTCCATACAGAAAACCTAATTGCTTAATAATATTAAGTTGTTACCAAGCCGTCAATGAGATTTTCAGGTGCAGTGGTGTTACAAGAGACTCGATCATCCTACTCAGGCCTACAAATAATTGTTCCGGGTCTGGATGTTTGTCCTTGTGCAATTTGTGTTTGTAAACTGCCTCCACGATACAGGAAAAAATCCTAGTGTGGGGGTTAAATAAAAAAATAACTCGCAAATTCGGTTCGAAAAGGTCATGTTAAACTGTCTGATGTTTTTAGCAACATGTTTTTAATTGTAAGGTATTTTCAGTGCGGCAACACGACGCGCGCCGGCAGCGGCGCCCCCGCCACTTATGGAGGGCGAAGCACTAGCTTCGAGACTCTTGGAGTTACAACCACAGGGAGCTAAGTTTTTGGCGTAAGTCACTACTTTATTTCAAAGTATATCGTTGACTGCTCTTCTCAGTTTTGCTCGGCGTTAGAAAAAAAATCTCCAATACTATCTCTGCACTAGAAAAAGACCAAAGCTTGTAGTACGCATAGCATTATAAATATGTATGTAACTCAGTAAATAATACATTTTGTTAATCTGTAATAATTTACTTTTGCCCACCTGTTGGACTGTGTACTTTAGAGTACTAAAAAATAAAAATTAAATAAAAAAACCTATCTACTTAAAATTTGAAGCCGCATACGCCGATGTGGTAGCCCTACATTCTAGCTGTTAAGAAAATAATCTCTGTGGCAAAATCACTAGTTTCAGTACTTATTCATTTTTTATAGTTGCATTAAAACGGGTGCAATAGGTTGCGTGAAAAAACGAAGAAAAGGAATTTTCCCAAAAAAGAGAACGATTTTTCGTTTCCGTAAACCCCCCTTATATTGTATATATATATTGCGTGTTTAATAGTATCAGATATCTAACGGCATGCATAGATAAAGTTAATATTTGATGTTTCGTACGAGCTAAGGTTTAATGTCGATTGAAGAGGAGTACCTGATTAATGAGTCCAGTCTATCTATAGGTGTCTAGAGATCTCTCTATAGATTTTAGCTTTTTGAGTTCAAACACTAGTTTTATTTTAATCCTATTTTTTGTTATTTATATTTTGAATAACCTTTGTATTATTTCAGCCCTGTGATAATCGAAGTGCCAATATTCACGGCGTCATGTCGCGAGCGGGAGATAGTTATACTGCGCTCCGACACCGGCGAGACCTGGCAAGACCACTATCTACACAACAACGACAACCCCATGATACAAGTAAGTTAATTTCGTTTTTATTAGGTTAAAATATTCTTAATTAAAAAAGTTTGAAAACCTCTGAAATATTTGGAGTCTAAAGGAGGTCAGCAATAGACTTGTAATGACTATGATCAATACGTAATTTTAAAAATATAAACCAATCCAGTATTGCAATGGTATACTTGGGTTGGGACATCGAGCATTGGGAAATGCTCGATGGGTTGGGATTTTATTTTATCAATTATACCTAGTCAGGTCATAAGTATTGTCACACAGTAAAAACTTTTCTTTTAGTAGCATACTACACAAAAAAGTTTATTGAATTCGAATTTCGAATTGTTCATGAAAATAAAACTGTATACTTATTAGAATTTTACTCATTTTTAAATATGAAGTGGACGCTTAAAGAAGACCGTGTTGCAGTTATTGCGTTGCATCGTTGCGGTTACCCGCCAATTCAAATTTATGACATACTGAAAAATTTGAATATAACCAAAAGATTCGTTTATCGTACCATCAAACGATACAATGAAGACCCTAGTGTAGATGGCAGGTCAAGAAGTGGTCGCCCTCGGTCTGTTAGGACTTCAGCAGTGATAAAAGCTGTGAAGGCGCGAATTCAAAGAAATCCCAAACGTAAGCAGAAACTGTTGGCCCTTCAGATGGGGTTAAGCAGAACCATGGTGAAAAGGGTGTTAAATGAAGACTTAGGGCTTCGGGCATATCGAAGAAAAACAGGAGATCGTTTGAATGCTCGTCTAATGGACATGAGACTGAAGAGATGCCGCGCTTTGTTGAAGCGGTACGCGGGAAAAAAATATCGGGAAATTCTTTTTTCGGACGAAAAAATTTTTACCGTAGAAGAGAGCTACAACAAACAAAATGATAAGGTGTACACCTTAGTGTGTACACACAGTAGTGAAGAAGCGAGCAACCGTATTCCGCGTGTCTAACGAGGTCATTTTTCATCCTCGCTCATGGTATGGTTGGGAGTGTCTTATTGGGGCTTAACAGAGGTACATTTTTGTGAGAAAGGTGTAAAAACGAATGCAGTTGTGTATCAAAATACAGTCCTGACGAACCTTGTGGAACCTGTTTCTCATACCATGTTCAATAACAGGCACTGGGTATTCCAACAAGATTCAGCGCCAGCTCATAGAGCGAAGAGCACACAAGACTGGCTGGCGGCGCGTGAAATCGACTTCATCCGGCACGAAGACTGGCCTTCCTCTAGTCCAGATTTGAATCCGTTAGATTACAACATATGGCAACACTTGGAGGAAAAGGCGTGCTCAAAGCCTCATCCCAATTTGGAGTCACTCAAGACATCCTTGATTAAGGCAGCCGCCGATATCGACATGGACCTCGTTCGTGCTGCGATAGACGACTGGCCGCGCAGATTGAAGGCCTGTATTCAAAATCACAGAGGTCATTTTGAATAAACTTTAGTATCATAAGAATCTATGTTTTGTTAAGTTCATTTTGGTATATAAATGGTTACATAATGAATAAACTTGTTTCAATTATTTTATATTAAACATGTGACAGAATTTATGACCTCACTAGGTATAATACCAAGCAGATGACACAAAGCTATCTGCTCTATTATAATGGGGATTTTTTTCAATAGGCTCTTGAATCATCCCTGCTAAGAATCGATGTTTCTTTGCGAGGATTCTGGAAAGATCCTGAACAGGTTCACAGACTTTCAGTTCTTCAGGTCAACTATAATATATTCTTTTAGACAGGTTTTTATTGATCTTTTAGTTTTTCCTACGTAATACAGACCACATTCGCAATCAAGGTTGCACACTCTTGCATCGTATGAACATTCAATTTTAAATAATAATCTGTATATTTCGCCGCTTGAAAATCACAGTAAAGGAAATCTAAATTTAGGTACTATTTCACATGTTTTTGTGTTACACTCGAAATATAATTGTTTGTGTACGAAAGCGGTCGCTAGCCCACGTTGGGTATGCTGCAAGGTCATTTCTATTTCCGTTCAATGCATAATAACAAGGTGAAATGATTCGTTTACACTGCTAACTATTAACCTACTTAAATTTAGCTCCAGATGGACTTGATATATAAAATTATTTCGCATATCTGTTTAAAGGACTATGCAATAATCGTTTATTAAAGGTTTAACTGCGTCTGAACTGAAGCATTATTGATACTAGGCTGTCAATATTTTACTATTATATGGAAACACGTAGAGGAATATATGCCATAATGCCAACCTTCGCAGATGGAACCATATTTATTTGAATTTAGTTTCTTTTCCCATAGTAGTAAGGATGTGCTGTAAATGTTGTGGCCCATACACACCTATATTTATTTTCGATTAAGAATCAAAATGAAAGGAATCGGTTCTCGTCACTCATCATACTGAAGTCACAGGAGGACTACTCAATTAAGGCTAGTATTCAAATACAATCTCGAGTTTTTTTTTAAATTAAAATACTAGTAATGCTGTTAAACATTACTAATATTCCCTTTAACCACTTCTGGTAAGCTTAAAATGCTTGTGTTAGAAGTGGTTCACGACAGTAGTCGAATGGCGGATTCGAACCCAAGACCTTTTGGTTTTGCGCTCCACGTCCTGCCACTAGGCTACTGACGCTTCACTTTTGAACTCAGACTTCACAATGTCGAAGTTTGTGAAGTATAGTATGGACTAGACCCAAGATATTATGTCTAGTCCATACTATGCTAAAAAAAAGAGATTACAATCCTTTTGTACTATTTTTCGTTGTTATAAAAATCATTTATATAAGTAGGTACAGCTAAATCACCCTGGAAACCTTGGTTTTTATTAAATTAAATTTTCACCTAATAATAACATTTGTAAATATCAAACAATGAAGAACATTAATTTGAAAAAAAGTATATCATTCATTGATATTTTTACAAATGTTAAATATTATTTAATGTTATACAAATGTAAAGTCGATCTGAAAACGTCTAATTAGTAAAAATAGCAAAACAAGTGTTTTCAAAAGGATAAAAACGCCGGCGCTATACGGCGGCGGATTGACAAAAGACTACTTATTAGCGAACTTTTTTTATGCATGAACGGTTTCGAACTGTTTCAAGCAAAAATAAACCTTATACCATATCACAAGAGCACATGGTACTTCATAGGTCTATTCGGCCATATAATAGTAATAAGACGGCAGTTCAACCATTTTAAGCAAAATTAAACAATAAGACAAACGCATTGTTTTTTTTTAACAGGAGACTTGTTATCCAGAAATTTATTTACAACTTGAGTTTGTGAGCGATCGCAATGAGTGTTATTATTTGTTACTTATTAGACAATTTTTCCATAACTTGATTTAAAATCTACAAAGTAAAAATAGTACCATGTACACGTTAAAAAAGGTTGTCAACCCCTAAAAATTTCAAATTTTCAAAATATCTAGAAACGAAGCTGCATGCATGAACTACCCGCAAAATAATTAATATTTTGTTCTGGATAAATTTTCCAAAAAAGCAAATTGAGCGAGTTATAACGATTTTTAAAAAGACACGACTCGCGTGTCATACGCCACACACAAAAGTAATCGATGACACGCCTGGCGTGTCACCCGCACTGAACCGGTGAAAGGCATAGCATGCTGAACTGATAGTGGATTCTAGTGATTTAATTTCCTTTTTCATGTGAATCCTTTTCATGTCAATGTGGATTCCTAGAAATTTGACTGATTCAACAGAGTCAATACTTATACCGTCAATGTTAACGTTTATTGAATCTTTTTGTCTTGCTGTAGATATAAAAAGCATTGCGTATGTTTTATTTGTATTTAATAAAAGATCGTTTGTAGTAAACCAACTTTTAAAGTCATACAGTAAGTTTTTTATTTTAGTATTTAATTCGTCTACCGAGCTAGCAGATACAATCGCGTTGGTATCATCCGCATAAATACACAATACGCGAGCAACCTGGGTTCGATCCCCGCCGGTACTAATGAAATTATTAATTGCAATTTTAAGTGCTGATTTACCACGTTCTCAGCGATAAAGAAAAACATTGTGAGGAAACTTGCATGTCTGAGAAATAAGAAAAAAATATATTTTGAAGATGTGTGAAGTTCGCCAACACGCATTGGGGTAGCGCGGCGGACATTTCCTTGCTCTAAAACCCTCCTGTGCCCAGCAGTGGGGTTAATATAGGCTTTAACTTTAACTTTACTTCCTATCAAATACTTAATAGCGTTGACCGTTTCAGGAGGCGCTGACACGCGAACGACAGGAATACGGGCCTAGCGGCGAGACGCTGGGCGAGAACGGCGAGCGCGTGACCCGCATAGTGACGTGCGACTTCCCGCACTACCTGGCCGTGGTGTCGCGCGTGCGCCAGGAGGTGCACGTGATCGGACCCGAGGGCGGCACCGTCTCCAGCGCACACATCCCGCAGGTAACGAGCGCGTGACCCGCATAGTGACGTGCGACTTCCCGCACTACCTGGCCGTGGTGTCGCGCGTGCGCCAGGAGGTGCACGTGATCGGACCCGAGGGCGGCACCGTCTCCAGCGCACACATCCCGCAGGTAACGAGCGCGTGACCCGCATAGTGACGTGCGACTTCCCGCACTACCTGGCCGTGGTGTCGCGCGTGCGCCAGGAGGTGCACGTGATCGGACCCGAGGGCGGCACCGTCTCCAGCGCACACATCCCGCAGGTAACGAGCGCGTGACCCGCATAGTGACGTGCGACTTCCCGCACTACCTGGCCGTGGTGTCGCGCGTGCGCCAGGAGGTGCACGTGATCGGACCCGAGGGCGGCACCGTCTCCAGCGCACACATCCCGCAGGTAACGAGCGCGTGACCCGCATAGTGACGTGCGACTTCCCGCACTACCTGGCCGTGGTGTCGCGCGTGCGCCAGGAGGTGCACGTGATCGGACCCGAGGGCGGCACCGTCTCCAGCGCACACATCCCGCAGGTAACGAGCGCGTGACCCGCATAGTGACGTGCGACTTCCCGCACTACCTGGCCGTGGTGTCGCGTGTGCGCCAGGAGGTGCACGTGATCGGACCCGAGGGCGGCACCGTCTCCAGCGCACACATCCCGCAGGTAACGAGCGCGTGACCCGCATAGTGACGTGCGACTTCCCGCACTACCTGGCCGTGGTGTCGCGCGTGCGCCAGGAGGTGCACGTGATCGGACCCGAGGGCGGCACCGTCTCCAGCGCACACATCCCGCAGGTAACGAGCGCGTGACCCGCATAGTGACGTGCGACTTCCCGCACTACCTGGCCGTGGTGTCGCGCGTGCGCCAGGAGGTGCACGTGATCGGACCCGAGGGCGGCACCGTCTCCAGCGCACACATCCCGCAGGTAACGAGCGCGTGACCCGCATAGTGACGTGCGACTTCCCGCACTACCTGGCCGTGGTGTCGCGCGTGCGCCAGGAGGTGCACGTGATCGGACCCGAGGGCGGCACCGTCTCCAGCGCACACATCCCGCAGGTAACGAGCGCGTGACCCGCATAGTGACGTGCGACTTCCCGCACTACCTGGCCGTGGTGTCGCGCGTGCGCCAGGAGGTGCACGTGATCGGACCCGAGGGCGGCACCGTCTCCAGCGCACACATCCCGCAGGTAACGAGCGCGTGACCCGCATAGTGACGTGCGACTTCCCGCACTACCTGGCCGTGGTGTCGCGCGTGCGCCAGGAGGTGCACGTGATCGGACCCGAGGGCGGCACCGTCTCCAGCGCACACATCCCGCAGGTAACGAGCGCGTGACCCGCATAGTGACGTGCGACTTCCCGCACTACCTGGCCGTGGTGTCGCGCGTGCGCCAGGAGGTGCACGTGATCGGACCCGAGGGCGGCACCGTCTCCAGCGCACACATCCCGCAGGTAACGAGCGCGTGACCCGCATAGTGACGTGCGACTTCCCGCACTACCTGGCCGTGGTGTCGCGTGTGCGCCAGGAGGTGCACGTGATCGGACCCGAGGGCGGCACCGTCTCCAGCGCACACATCCCGCAGGTAACGAGCGCGTGACCCGCATAGTGACGTGCGACTTCCCGCACTACCTGGCCGTGGTGTCGCGCGTGCGCCAGGAGGTGCACGTGATCGGACCCGAGGGCGGCACCGTCTCCAGCGCACACATCCCGCAGGTAACGAGCGCGTGACCCGCATAGTGACGTGCGACTTCCCGCACTACCTGGCCGTGGTGTCGCGCGTGCGCCAGGAGGTGCACGTGATCGGACCCGAGGGCGGCACCGTCTCCAGCGCACACATCCCGCAGGTAACGAGCGCGTGACCCGCATAGTGACGTGCGACTTCCCGCACTACCTGGCCGTGGTGTCGCGCGTGGGTTAAGAGTGATGACCCCTCTAATATCTGCTTTACAAGCACTCCTAATAAGTAGGCCGTGCGTCACCGTACGGATCGCTTAGTAAGATGTAAATTTATATAAATACTAGAATAATTGATTGTTAGATGGATATTGGTTTTGGAAGTAATTATAAGTTGTAACGCTGTTACTTTATATAAATAAATTATATTTTTTAGTAAAGTCGTTGTTGTTAACTTAATTGGCGCAGCCGGTAGGATATTCGTAGTTGTTTAGGAGAATCTGTATCGTCGGTTATAATCATCGTGATCCAGTATCGGTATCCTGACAACGTGCGTTTCAACGCTTTGACGAATATCACCGAACAAACAAATAAATTAAGAACTTCGCGACTCCAGCAGAAACAGCCGAGACTCCAGAACCAGCAATATCCCAGAGGGACATGGGCAGACCTGCGAGACTGTGAGTAAAACTCTTCACTTCCCGTAACTTTCCTTTTGTTCCCTCTTGTACTAGTTATACGTAGGTATTGTCTTGGATTAGAAAACGCCATAACAATACTCTTCTACTAAGCAATCTAAATTTTATTAGTAGATTTTAGTTAAATCAATTTTATTTGGGTATATTTTTTTTTATTTGTGTGTGTGATAGTTATTTTATTTTTAAAATGGAAAACATTGAAAGAATCCCCGTAGAGATGACAAAAATTATCCCACTTTTTGATGGAGACGCTAGACTACTACCTTTATTCATAAAAAAATGTGAATATATTTTACAAAGATTCCAAGGTAGTAATTTACAAAATGAATATTTATTTCATGTCATTACTAGTCGCTTGACAGGGGAAGCCGCTAATTTAGTGGGAGAAAGGGAACAGATAGACTCTTGGGCAGACCTCAAGTCGTTGCTAAACCAACACTTTGGCGATCCAAGGTCCGAAGAATGCTTAGCTATGGAGTTAGAAAGTCTAAGAAAATATAGAAACGAAAGTTATCAAGAATTTTGTCACCGGGTACAACATTTAAAAAGCATTTTGTTTTCTAAAATAAACGAAACTATTAATAACCGAGACTTACGACTAGCTAAACAAACTATATACGACAACGCGGCATTGAATGTTTTCTTATACAATTTACCTGCTTATTTAGTGAGATTAGTGAGACTACGTAATGTTACTACCTTAGAAGATGCATTAAAAATCGTCTTAGAGGAACAGAACTTCCAAACAGTCTATGATAATAGGAACCAAAGGTCTAATCAAAATTTTAGACAAAACCATTTCCAAAATCATCCTAACTTTAACCGTAATAATAATTATAAAGGCCCAAGTTTTCAATCTCAAACAAACGGCCATCCATCGTATAACCAAAATAATTCATTTAATTCAAATAATATTTCTCCTCACTTCGGGAATAATCATACAATGAACAATAGAAATAACTTAATTACGAACTCTGCAACTAGGTCGCCAGTACGACCGTCATCGGCGCAACACCGTCAGCATTTTTCGCGAAACGCAACGAATAATATGCAATATCAAGCGCCACATGTGTCGTCGAACTCAAGTACTGACGTCACAATGAGGACAGCTAGTTCAAGACGCGTAAATTATACAGACACTGAAAATAATATTCAACCTAGTACCTCGCAAAACCAAAGTGATTTTAACGCTTATTCGGCCGATAGGGAATATGAACAGATAGGAAATTTTTTTATAATAGCCTCAACAATACGGAAAAAATAGAGATTAATTATACAAAAATTTTAAATTTGCCTCATATACGTATACCAGAATTGAATGCAGTTTTCATGTTAGACACGGGGAGCACAAGATCGTTTATCAGCCCGGAGGTAGCAAATTATTATTATAAAAGTTTTAAGCTATTCGAGCCTTTCGAAGTCATCAGCACTCATGCGTCAAGTAGACATGAGGAAGTTGTTTATATTACCTTGCCTAGCATTTTTAAAACTCAAATAAAACATAAATTTTACGTTTATAGTGTGGACGAAAGATATGATGGCTTAATAGGAAGCGAATTATTAAAAGTTTTAGATGCTTCTATCGATATGAAAAATTTAACTCTAATTACAAAAAATGCTAAAATTCCTATAATTTATTCACCACCGAAAAAAAAAACGTATATGTTGCCGCCAAGATGTGAACTTAGAGTTTCATTACCAGTAAACCTAAGTAAAGGAGAAGCAATTTTGAATCACGTACAATTTAGCGAAGGTGTTAGAATGCCGACAGCTTTGGTTAAGTGTGAAAATAGTCTCGCCACCACAGTAATACAAAATTGTACTGACGTAGAACAAAAACTGGTAGTTACGTCACCTTTTAAAGTGGAACCATTTGAAATAGCAACATTATTAAAGAAAAACAATGAAACAAATTTAAATTTTGCAAATCACCGAGATGTAAACGAACTACTTCATGAAAATTTAAAAAAGTTGAGGTTAGATCATATGAATGAAGAGGAGAAAAATATGATAGAAAAATTATGTAGAGAATATAAAGATATCTTCTACTGCGAACATTTACCCTTAACATTTACTAATGAAGTAAAACACGAGATAAGGACTAAAAACGAGGATCCAATCAATATTAAAGCTCACCGTCTACCACCAGTCCAAACAGAAGAAATAAAAAGACAGGTAGAAAAAATGTTAAAAGATAACATTATTCAGGAATCTCACTCTCCTTGGAGTGCACCGGTTCATCTAGTACCAAAAAAATTAGACGCATCGGGTATCAAAAAATGGAGAATGGTCATAGATTATCGAAGAATAAACGACATTACGACTGATGATAAATATCCTTTGCCCAACATTAACGATCTATTCGACATGTTAGGTAAAAGTACATATTTTACAACACTGGACTTAGCATCAGGCTATCACCAGATAGAAGTCAGAGAAGAAGATAGATCAAAGACCGCATTTAGTACACCTTTCGGTCACTATGAGTTTAATAGAATGCCTTTTGGAATGAAGACAGCTCCTGCTACGTTTCAAAGAGCAATGGACAACGTGCTGAGAGGACTACAAGGAATACATTGTTTAGTTTATTTGGACGATGTCATTATTTTCTCAAAAAGCTTACCTGAACACATAGAAAAACTTAAAGCCGTTTTTGAAAGATTTAGAAGAACAAACCTCAAAGTACAGCTGGATAAGTCACATTTTTTAAGAAAAGAGGTGTTGTACTTAGGTCATACAATAACTAATGAGGGCCTCAAGCCCAATACAGATAAAATAGATGCTGTACTTAAATACCCTCTTCCAAAAACAGTGACAGAAATCAAAAGTTTTTTAGGATTAGTCGGTTACTATCGCAAATTCATCAAAGACTTTGCGAAAATAACAAGACCTCTTACAGCTTGTTTAAAAAAGGGTAATAAGATAATTTTGAACGAAGAATATAAGGAAAGTTTTGAAACCTGTAAAAAACTTTTAACAAATGCTCCATTATTACAATTTCCAGATTTTGAAAAACCTTTTATATTAACAACCGATGCATCCAATTTTGCTATTGGAGCGGTTCTATCACAGGGCACTATTGGAAACGATAAACCAATAGCTTACGCAAGTAGGACATTAAGTGACACAGAAACTAGATATAGTACTATAGAAAAAGAGCTCTTAGCGGTAGTTTGGGCGGTAAAACATTTCAGACCCTATTTATACGGAAAAAAATTTACTATTTATACGGACCACAGGCCTCTAGCCTGGCTATACTCTCTTAAAGAACCCAACAGTAAGTTAACCCGTTGGCGACTTAGATTGGAAGAATACGATTTTGAAATTAAATATAAAAAAGGACAGCAAAACACAAACGCAGATGCCCTGTCAAGAATAAGATTAAACGCATTAGATAACGATCTCGACTCAACTTTAGCTAATATAGACGATGAAGATGAACGTATAAAACAAATAGTCAAAGAATTAAACGACGAATTTGTAACAATTAGAAAAAAGAAACCTAAAACACCATCAGTTATATCAAATTACGACACAGAAAGTGAAAGATCCATAGTTGTTTCTGATATCGAAGTTGAGCCACCAATGGAACTGATGGAATTATCAGACGATGGTGTCACAGCTAACTCAATATCAAACAGGGAACATGAAGGGATTCCTATCCTGAATGAAGCTATAGACACAAAACCACGTCAAATTTTAGTCTCCACATGGTTTACTGATAAAATATCTGTTAAAGATATTTCAAATAAGAAGCAACGTATACTAGAAGTTCACATGCCTCTAAATAATGAGAGACTTGTCAAACAGTTTCTTAAAGAATATATTGATTTTAAACATAAATATTATATCTATTTCGAAAACGCGGAATTCAGGAAATCTTTTAGTAGAGTAGTAATCGAATTATACAAAAAGGGAACTTATAATTTGATCGAATGTACAGACAGAATAGTTAATCTAACCGATTCAGAACAAGACCAAAGACGAGTAGTTGTAGCGTACCACGAAGGAAAAACGTGTCATAGAGGTATCAACGAGACCTTAGCAAAAATCAAAAGACACTACTGGTGGGCAAACATGAAAGAAACTATAACAGCCATTATTAATTCATGCGAGCCGTGTCGAAAAATGAAATACGAAAGAAAACCCATAAAACCTCTTATCCAACTAACACAAAATCAATACAGCCCATTCCAAGAAGTCTTCATGGATCTTTTATTTATAGAAAAACAGTATTACCTTACTGTGGTTGATGCTTTCAGTAAGCTTGGACAGGCTATAAACATTCCCAATAGAAGTACACCAGAAGTAGTCAGAGCATTAATAAAATATTTCAGTATGTACGGAATTCCACGCAAAATAAACAGCGATTCCGGAGCTGAATTTAATAATGAATTAATTAAAGAACTTTTAAACCTGTACAAAATAGAACTTCATATTAGCACACCAAATAATCCTAGCTCGATGGCCATAGTGGAAAGATTCCACTCCACAGTAATCGAAATATATAGGTTGGCAAAGTATGATAAAAGTGATCTTGATGCATGTTCAGTAATGACATACGCTATAATGGCATACAATAATAGTATCCATTCAGCAACGGAATTCACGCCTTTTGAAATAGTTTTCGGTAATACTGACAGCGGTAATATTTTTGATATTAATAGGGAACACAACCTAATGCAAAAGCTATTGCAAGATCACAGAAAACGCCTAAAAGTACTCTACGAATATGTTGGAGAAAAACTAAAAGATAACAAAGCCAAAGTTAGGGACAAGAAAGGAGGTGAAGAAATACCAAAAATCAAAGAAGGTGATACAGTATTTATGAAAACAACTCGGACAAGGAAAGCTAAGGAATTACCACGTTATGAAAAAGCAAAAGTAATAGGTGAAACAAATCGTAACATTGTTCCAGTAGAGTTAAATAAAAGAAAAACTAGAGTAGCTGCTAAAAATATAAAACGTCCTCCACAGGTCGTGGCTGGTACTTCTGGCACTTGTGAACCAGATCCACAGCCTGGAACTTCAAAATCTGGAGCGGAACCCGGGAATAACCCTGCTGAAATATGGAACAGCAGTGATGAGGAGTAGTTATTGGACAGTTTACAAAACAGTAGAGATAAGCGCATTAGGAATACAAATAAATAATAATATAAATATATACAACAAAATTAATACAATTATAACAGAAAATAGCCTAGAAAAAGAACTATTAGTTATACAAAAACAAATAGACTGGTTAGTTAAATTAGTTCAGGACAAATACGATCAAATAAGTCCTATCCATAAAAGAAAAAGAGCCATTATGAGTCCTTTGGGGTCCATAATAAAAATTATATCAGGTAATTTAGATGAAGAAGATGCCATCAAATTCAACGAAGAAATCGCAAATTTGAGAGTTAAAGAAAACTTAGCAGAACGTAAAGTATCGTCAATGCAAAAAGCGTTTAATGCGTTAACCAATGTATCTGAGGTTATCAATAGTAACGTTGAAAACTTGCACTTTAAGTTTAAACAAGTTGACAAACTAGAGTCAAAAACTGACAATGTCATTCGTACAATGAATAGCCTTTATCAAATTCTTAATAACTTTCGTTACATTTATGAAAATATCCAGGAAATTGAAACAGCCATAGCATTCAGTAAATTACGCACCCTACATCAATCTATCATTAATTCTACAGAATTACTAAACATTTTTAAAACTATAGAACAAAATGCACAAACTATTTACCCAGTAACAAGAAATAACTTATTAAAATTAGAACGTAACATTATCCTAAAATGTTATATAGATAAAGATAAACTAGTTTTTATTTTAGAAATACCATTAATAGCAAAAGAAACGTATAACTATTACAAGATAATTCCCATTCCTATAAAAAAATTAACCAGCACCTATACTATAATTCCTAAATATCCCTACCTATTAGTGAATGGTTTGAAATACAGAAACGTAGTAAATCCTTGTACCCAGATAGAGTCGAAAAAACACTTATGTTCGGAGGAAAATATAGCACCAG